AATTCATAAGGCGTCGCCTCGCCTCACGCTTTAGTCGCCTAAGCGTAAGGCGGTAGTCACTCGCCACGCCTCGCCTTACCGCCTTAAAAACATTGTATTTCAGAGCCAAAACCACACTTTGCTCTATCAAAGTGGTCTTTGCAAGAAGAATGTCACTCCACCTATGATGTCAGTGAGAGAGCTTTTACTGAGCCAAAGATGAGGCATCGAGGATCAGTTACTACCCCAGGTATTAAAATGTGGCCTTTTTCTACTCCCTGTTAAGTAACAAATGTGCTGATCTGATCTCTTTCCTTGACTTGAAGAAAATGGAAACTATGAAAGTGCAAACACCACAGCATCGTCTACTGGTGCTGATGCTAGCAATCATGTAAGTTTGGTACAAAAGTTTCTTTCTTCAAAGGCATTGGAATGTCAGATAGTGAAATACTGCTTAGAGGGAGCAAAGATATATCCCTAGCTATAAAGCAATGCCAAAAACATAGGTTTTATGTGCTTGAGTTACCAGTGTGGCTGAAATTTGCCCCTTGATATGCTTGATCCAAGATATGCCAATGTTTAACCTAAATGCCACAAGAATAATATATTGCAGTATAGTACTAAGCCAATTTCAGTTAGGTTTCTATCCACAGCTGGGGTATCAAAGAGCTGTATTTTGGTACAGTGAATAAGAAAGCTGCTATACTTCTGGGATGCCCAGATTTATTGATTCTCCTTTTGGCCATTTTGCACACTAGGTTCAAAGAGCGAGATCAAAAGCATTATCAGTCTTTGGAGGATTGGTGTCTCCAAAACTAAGAACCGCCCAACTTTCATTTGAAACAGGTTTTGATTCTTCATGACAAAAGTTTTTCCAGTTTAAACTATTTTATCTAACTGTACATGTATTTGTTGCAGCACTTGACTTGATTGTGGAGCTAGCAAATTCAAGGTCAAATATGTTAGCTAGTTTCTCCCAGTTAAAAGAGTGAAGCTTGACATTCAATTTTGAGGTTTTGTACCCTGGGCACCATCTATTCAGCACTCGTGGAATCGCAGAAACTGTAAATAAGTCTTGAAATCCAGTATATTTTAAGGAACGACTAAATAGCATATAATGCTTGCTATGCTGATTGGAAAGGCGGAGCTCGCATACCTGTGAATGCAAGAACACATGCTGGAAGCAGTCAGAAATTGCTTGAGGCAACCAGAAATAAACCAACCATCAAAATGAGCCCTTTCGATATGCGATGCAAGTCATGTATGAATATGGTACTAATATCCTCGTCTAAACGGTCGTTTAGTCCGTTTAAACAGTGTTTAAACAGTAAACGGAGGCCACTGTGTCGTTGAGGCTAAACGTCGGACCGTTAAAAATCGTCTAAACAGAATTGAGTTAAACGTGTTTAAATGAACTAAATGATCATTTAATTCATATTTAGTCAATAGGAGGATTATTATAACTACCGCAGTGATCACTGAACTAATTAGCATCATAAGTATATGAAGTGTTATGGGATTTAGATTTCTTCCCAAAAGATTGTTTGGTAGAATACTTACTTTTTATGTGTAAATATGTAGACTTTTATGTACATAAATATGTACTTCCTCCGTCCCATTGAAAGTGTCGTTTTTTATTTTTAGACTTCTTGTTTGACCGTTCGTTTTATTCAAAAGTTTTATATAAATATTATTTATTTTGTTATCTTATTTTATTATTAGAGATACTCTAATAATGATTCACGTGCCTGAACCTTGATTGTTTCTGTTGGGTTTCAACTCTAGCCTACCCCAACTTGTTTGGGACCTAAAGGCTTTGTTGTTGTTGTTGTTGTTGTACTCTAATAATGATTTATTTATTTTATTATTTATATAAAAAATTTGAATAAGATGAACGGTCAAACAAGAAGTCTACAAGTAAAAAACGACACTTTCGATGGGATGGAGAGAGTGTATTTTAGTGTTACTATATAGAACCGTTTAGGCCGTTTAATTCCATTTAAACACCGTTTAAACGGTCTAAACGCTAAACAAAAGGTGACCGAACTGTTTACTGTTTAACATAACATAGTATCCTTTAGAGTATACATTTGGCATGGTTTAAAAAAAAAGAGTATGCGTTTGGCACTCTGGTGGGCTCTGCTTATCTACACCGTTCGATTGAATTCTCAAAAGATGCCCAGACTCAAAAGATGCTCAGACGGACACTAACGGCAGCAGACATCTGGACACTCCAATAAAAAAAATGAAACTGTACTTGTATAACTTCTATCAAGCAAAATGATGTGTTTAGGTTGCTGTATGGAGTTCGTTCTTCTCCGTTGAGCACTTGCCAATTACATAACTTGTGTATGCCAATTACATGGTATAGTTCCATAATTTTCAGTTGCAGAGCACACATGGATTGCATTTGTTGTGATCAAAGTTGTATCTGCTATAAATTTGAATCATGGCTAGTTTGTAGACTTGCAAAGAAACACACTAAATAATCGAAGCAGCGTTTGAAGAGTGCTATGGATAGGGAAGTTTCACAGCAAAATAAGATGCAAGTTCCTCTGAAAACATATCTTCGGAGGCAATTTATAATTCCTCAAAAATAGGTTTGTAATATAGATAGCATGTAGCATGATGGCTATAAGGCACATATAATGTCGTAATACATTGAGGATGTGATCGGACCCTGTTTTATTAGGTTGGGAACTAGCAATATTTGTATGGGTAATGCTACAGAACCTACGTCCAGAATCTTAAAAAAATCGGACGTTCTACTATCTGCTCGCTCCAGCACAGCGATTGGCTCAACAGACCCATCTACGCTCTCTTATCTATCTACTCCATCTACACTGCGACAGCCGACAGAAATTCCCAACTCCTCGCTTCGCTCGTTGCGGCTCACTGCGCTATCCACCCGCCCCAAGCCGCCTCGCGACGGCGCCCCAATCTCGCGTCGAGCCATGACATGTATGCCGCCGCGCAGTGCTCCATCCCCCACCGCCCCCACTCCGCCTCTTCGCGCCGTGCCCGGTCCTCGCCCTTGCGCACCATTCCCAGTCCCCCGTCGCGTTGAGGTGCCGTCAATGTCGTTGTTCCCCACCAGGAGGTCATGGTCGCTATTGATGCCACGCCACCACGACGCTCTACCTCAGCTTGCGACATCACAAGATTTGGAGTGGCTAGACCCGGAGCGGGCTTCTCCAGTTCCACCTCGCGCTCCCTTTCTTCCTCGGATGTTGCAAGCGCATGTTTCAAGTGTTTCAGGTGTTTCATATGGATGTTGCAAAAGTAGATTGGGATGTTGCATATGTTGCAATGACTATACACGTATGTTGCAAGCGTCTGTTCTAAATGTTTCATCTATTTCAGACAGATGTTGCACGTGTTTTGCATATGTTTCACACTTATGTTGTAAATGTTTCATCCGGATGTTGCATATGTTTTCACGCATATGTTGCAAGTATTTTATCTAGATGTTGCATATGTTTTGCAATGGCTACACACATGTTTCCCTCGTGTTTGAAACGTATGTTGTAAGTGTTTCAACTATTTGGGATGTATGTTGGAAATGTTTTCTCTAGATGTTGCAAAAGTAGTTCTGGTGTTGCACATGTTGCAGTGGACCCCATTTGCAGCAGCTGCTGGGCCCACTTGCATGCGCGTGGGTGTGGGTAGGCGAGCGGCAGGTGCGGAAAACCGTGCGGGCACAGATCGAGACGGAGCAAGCGTGGGACACGGAGCGGCGCGGGACCCCACATGAAGCAGGCGTGCGGTGCGGGCGTCTAGAGGCTTGCCGCCGTCTAGACGTCCGGGCGCTAGCCTTTCCGTATTTGTATACTAGAGAATTTTAACCAAATTTTGAGGGAAAATAAACATTTTTATTTGATTGTAGCTATTTTGAAAGCAGATTTTACTAGAGGAAGTTGAACTTGGTGTTTGCCATGCTTTTTTGTGACTTGGTGTTTGCCATGCTAGGCCTGTTCCATGATGAATGTTTAATTTTTGTTAAGTATTTTTTTAGATAATAGTATTAATACTATGCAAACACCATCTTTGCCTTTGCTTCTACGGATGAACGCAACCTATCTTTAACTATTAGTCTCATTATATATGCTGATCTATCTGTAGAGAGAGTCAGCGGCTGGTGGCGGCAGAGACGTGCCACAGGCGGTCTTTTGATCTTTGTTTCGTTCTTGATTTCTCTGAATCATGTACCCCAGGTTTCTACTCTGTAAAAATGTATTGGTTGATGTGCAGGACAGGAGGGAGTGGTGACTGTATGACGAATCCCTGGGATGAATGCAAAGTGTTTGCTTGAACTGCAAAGTGCATCTACGGATGAATCCCTCCTGTCCAACAGTGCAAAAAAAATCATAAAAAGTGCAAAAATTAAAGACCCAAGCATTTCGAGCAAACACTTTGACCCCCAAATTATCTCATTCCTTCAACTAAACGCCGAAATTGCATGATCCCACTCCATTCCACACAAGATAGTTCCATCACATTCCATATTTCCATCTAGTTCGTACACTCGATTAAACACACCCTAGCAGCTGTCCTTGGATAGCCTACCACGGTGCAAAGGTTTCACCACCCTGTTAATCAGTATACAAAATTATTGAAATAAGGCCAAAACAGGATTTGAATATTTGTTGAGTTATTCTCTCAGGTGCCTATGAACTTTTCTAGAATTTCAAACATCATACAATATATTTCAAAGTGTACTAGCTACAACTGAAAAATAGCTCAAACAGCATATCTACCAATTGCCACGGTGCTACAAGTATCTGCCAGTGAAACCAGTTGAACCTTTCCTCTATCCTGACTGATAACTCTAGATCAAGAATACAAAAGGAGCATAAACTGCACAATTAAATGTTTAGATGACATCAGAGGTCAAAGGTTGTGCATGTTTCCACTAAGAGTAAGGATTGTACACCTTCATAGCCCCATTCAGTGTCCTTCAGAACTGAAGTTTTTGCAGGGAAACACGGTCCATGATGTTCAGCTGTGCAATTTTACTAGGATCACGCTGTCAATTGGCGGTATTCATCATTGGCACCATCTACCACTTGATACCTTGATCTCACATTCTGCAATATTTAATTGTCATTTAGTTGCTGGCCTTGAAGAGCTTTTGACACAATTTGATCTGAGAAAAGTAGAAATTGTTGTGAAGAAACCTCAAGAAGGGTGACATAGTAGAAGTCTTCCATGTGCTGCATAAGAGCCGAACCATCCCTGATTGAGCGGAGTAGATTTATTTCTGTTTGCAGTAGTTTTTCCACAAGTTGCTTCTCGCCTTTCATCTGCAGGAAGTTATAAGTCCAATTATTCTGAATAACATCCTAGTAAGTAGCAACAAACAGAGGCATACTCACAAATTCAGTAACAAGAACATCAGGTGTGTACTCCCCTATCGCGTCACCTTGGTCTTCATCATCTAGAATGTTGTTATTTACCTGTATCACATAGAAATGAAATTTTATGTTTTTTGGTGACAACTGGGGGATCTGGTACACTAAAACATGGATACCTGGTTAACAACATTATTAGAGCACATTTTGATCGAGAAATGATTAAAAAAACTACTTTACCGGTGCATCTTTTGCATCTCCAAATTTAAGATAAACTGGTGCTTCCACATGGCAATAGCCCATAAGACGTGGTACTGTTGGAATGATATCTCGGTGGTTGACAATTCTCCAGCTGTCCTTTACTTTCTGGAAATAGTCCAAAAAAGACATAAAAATTGTGGTTGCTTTATATTTTTTTAGTTCATAGATCCTTGCAGTAAAATTACGGGATTACAACTTAACTCATAATGATATATTATTACACTGATTCTAATAGATAGGCTTCACCTATGGAAAAAACAGTAACATACACAAAAAGTTATTCCTGTTGTATGACTACATGTGACTCTTGAATTTGATCTGAGAATTGGCAGTCTGCAAGTTCATCCCATCTCTTTCTCTACAATATTCATCTTTTGAATGCATTGTACCAAAAAAAACTATTTCATTAATGTCTTCCATGGAGAATTGTAACTTGCCTATATCAAGTCATCATATAGTAGGGATCTCCTCTCTGATAAGATGCTATTTATGTGAGCATGGGTGTACACATAGCTTAGCTAGGAGCGTAACACCACTATACTGCAGAAGAATGACAAAATGTCTGCTATCTGGTTTTCTAAATGCAAACGAAAGGTTGGATTATTCCTGCCTCCATTCTTTCCTTTTATTTATATATATATTTTTTTATTTGAAAGAAAGTGGCAAGACCGCTGCCTTTAAATTAAGATACAGAAGAGAGTGCGTGCAAAATACAAGACCCAGCCATGCGGCCCTGCTATACAAAGGGTTGGCAGCATTTTGTATGTCTTTTGTAATAATACTTCTATGCAGCTGCCCAGACACTTATTTGAAATAAAACCTAAAAGGTACTAGATATACATATTTCATATGAACTTCCCCAACATTCCTTAGCCAACATATCAAGGACAGAAAGCAGATTGAACAAAAAGATTAAGTAGTTCAATATTCACATTCATTTCCACACTCCAAATTAAAATGACTGATATTTATTAAATGACCCTTCTGCCATGCCAGAAATTATTGTGAAGAACATAATGGTTTCATTAGGTATAAAAGAACATAATAATTCTCAGTTGTATTTTATCAAGTGCCCCAGTTCTAAATCAATCCATCCAAGTAGAAAATTAGTGTCTACAGAGTTAGTAAATAGTCTTCAAATTACCGCATTGTTGTTATGGATTGGCCAATTTGTTATGGATTGGCTACGGTAGATGGATTAGCAGAGAGACCCCGGATAGCAGCCCTTCCTCGGGAACTATCTTAGGATCTTCTTCTTGCTTGACTCTAACTGATACATGATGGTCCCTTTTATAGAGACAACTTACTTGACCCCTAAGTAATATCCTAACCGAATCAATCTAATTTATCTCTTTCCTAACAAACCAAACCAATCTAATCTAATCTGGCCCGGTACTGTTCACACGCACAGTGCCGCGTGGGCCCCTGGCCGGCTCCACCTGCCATAACACTACTCCACCCCTCGAAGACAGCTCGTCCTCGAGCTGTGGCGATTGTTGGAGCGGAAGACCTTGCGGTCCAGAGAAGATCGCCATGGCAGACCTGCTGAAGGAGACCAATGTTGCGGTTGTAGTCGAGGCGGAAGGCATATGGCTCCCCAAAATCAACTCCGTCCCATATGGGATCTGCTTCTGTAGTGGTGCAAGATCCATACCTTCCTCCTCGAGGTGCCAAACTTGGCTACTCCATCTGATCTGCCTGGAATCGAATCCGCCCGGCTCAAATCCATGGAGCGCCTGCACGTGGAGTCGATGGTGCCCTCCACGAGCAGCCACCCCCGCTATGGGTGCAGCAGAGCGGGGCTGTGCTGGAGGCGTACTCCAAGCGACCGATGGAGCTTTGAAGGCCTGCTGCTGAGCCGGCGGAGAATAAGCGCATGCAAACAGCCACGGCCCTGCTCGAGGGATCGGTGCTGCGGCTCATAGAGGCAGCGACAAAGGCACCATGTCCGCCAATGTCGGTGCATGGATGATCGCCTGCATTGATGACACTAGTGTCTGCGGGGTTGTTGGCGAAGCTAGTGATGAGACTGCCGGAGTTGTGGCAGCCGGGGCCTTCATTGGTGATGTGACCATGGTGGGGAAAGAGGAGCACAACGACGTAGCTGACACCGTCGTTGTTGGTGATGGCGCCGATGCAGCAAGTGGCGTAGCAGTGTGGAACTTCACTGGCACCACTACGGCTGCCGATGGTGCTGCTGGCGACGTCGTTAAGGACGGCGGTGCAGCAACCACAGCGGAATCGATCCGATCCGATTCGGCGAAGTGGACGGCCACTGGTGCCTCGTCGAAGCCGCGCAGCTGGTTGCAGTCGGTGATCTGCATGAGCTCCTCCATGTGCAAGGCGTGCTCGAGGGTCTTGTCGGCGGCGGTGGCATCAACAAGATCATGCTGATCTATGCCATCCACAGCCACGGCCCCCTGCTGCAGCACAGGGTCCTCCACCACGAGGTCTATTGTTGATGAAGGCGGTGCAGCAGATGTATTGCCGTTGATGATGTCGAGTAGTGCGAGGATGCGGTCGAGCTTGGCGGAAAAGGTCGCAGGATCGATGCTAGGGCCGGTCATGGTGGATGACGATGCCCTTGCGCTGGATCTCTGATACCAATTTGTTATGGATTGGCTACGGATAGATGGATTAACAGAGAGACCCCGGATAGCCGCTCTTTCCTCGGGAACTATCTTAGGATTTCTTCTTGCTTGACTCTAACTGATACATAATGGTCCCTTTTATAGAGACAACTTACTTGACCCCTAAGTAATATCCTAACCGAATCAATCTAATTTATTTCTTTCCTAACAAACCAAACCAATCTAATCTAATCTAATCCGGTACTGTTCACACGCACGGTGCCGCGTGGGCCCCTGGCCGGCTCCACCTGCCATAACAATTGTATACTTCAGCGAATCTTCTATTTCCCACTCTAGGAGAGCCAAAATTGTACATTGTCACAAATATGACACCATTACTATAAAAGATGACATGACAAATATGAAAATAAAAAATATAGAAAATCATGTACGAACATAGTTGAAAACCATTATGCCCCGTTTGGATCCTTGGAATTGAATTCATTTTAATAATTATAATTTAGACACATATTAATTAAGCTAATATGGTTGTATATGGATTATATTTGTATATTATTGTTGGCTATACGAGAGAGATATGTTACATTTCTACCGTTGGGGAGCGAGTTGAAGAGCGTGTTATAAGTTTCAAAGTAGAAACATAGAATGATGATCTATAGAATCAATTTCCATCTCCCATCTTATGAATTTGAGATAGCCTTATATGTGAACTTTGAAAAGTGGTGGAATGTCAAATTCCAAGCCAAACAGCCTAATTTATTAAGTAGATTTCAATTCCTCCAAATGAAAGGATCCAAACGGCCCCTTATAGAAATCGTCAACAGCTGCCAACTGCAGAAGTGTTAAAGATACATAAACTATTGGTGAGCTATTTTGACAGTTCTATAACAGCATAACAGGATGATATACAAATAGGAAGCTCAACATTAATATCTTCTTTAAAATTTATGAAGCTCCAGTGCACCAGTACTTTTATTAGAATAACAGGTATCCTGACAAGTTCTTCTTCATTACTAAGGCAAACACTCTGTAGTGCAGGGGCAGAGCAGTTAATAAGTTGTCTCTTGTGTTCTTTCCAGGCAGGTTTGGGCGGTCATCTTCCAGAAGCTGGGTCTAATTGCTTGAGCACCTCGACCTTCTGTCTCTCGGTTCTCTAGTTGGTGGTGCAATGTCATCAAGGGCCTACCTAAAGATTTGAGAAAAGGACTCAACACGTTGATCATTCTGGTAGCCTGGGAACTTTGGATACATAGGAACTCTTATTTGAAGGAGCTAGCCCCTATTTTCAGGCAGTGCTGCACAAAGTGGGAGAGGAGTGTGTCCTTTGGTGCTCTGCCGTAGCCTCGGCTCTCAGCAAACTCCTATCTAGGTTGTTCACCCCAGGCCTTCTGTCCTGAGGAGATGCCTTGGTCGAGGTCGTTTCTTGTTTCAGTCTTGTAATAGGTGCTAATGTAATGTAAGGGGTTGTGTTTTGGAGAGGCCTCTTGATCTCTCCTTGTACTATATTTCTTCTTAATGAAATGACACGCAGCTCTCTTGCATTGTTTGAAAAAAAGAGCAATTAATAAGGAGTCATCCAAGTTAATCTGATCTTGTTTGGGACTTTGGGTTTCCTACGTGTTAAATGTTTGAATTTTACATTTCCACAAACCCTGAATCAAATGATGACATATGGTATCTGAAATGAGAAGATTGCAGATTTAGATCAAGTGAAGGTTCAAACTTACTTGGCCATTTGACTTGATGAAAGTTCAAGAGCAAGAAGGGTTGCTAGTGCTCCACCTAAACTGTGTCCAGTCACATAAACATGCCAACTAGGTATGGTTTCTGCATCTTCTTCATCCCTGCAGTGGAATAATTAGATGCTTTGTGAATAAAGTTTGAGATAGTTACTTGGTGAAGCTATATATACAATAAACACATAAAAATCAAAATTTAAATCCAAATATTGTTCTTTTCAGCAATAGTTTTCTGAGATATATAGTCAAAATTCCATGTGGACAGCAATGAGAACATGCTATGGAACGTTGAAAGTTTCCTGCTTCATATTGAACTTATTTGTGTTAAGAAAGTCACCTATTTCACTGCAAAATACTCACTGGAATCCAACGGCATATTTGATGAGAGTCATGATCCTGTTCCTAACAGAGTCATATGCACCTAAGAATCCACTGTGAACCTAAAACATGGTGTGACAACATGTCAGGTAGCAGAATATGATTACAGACACATAAAAGAGTGTAGACAACTAACTCGAACTTCTTGTTTGAAGTCACCACCCAGCCTCTCAGGGTTTAGTCTGTAATCGGGTTCAAGACATGGTGTACCAAAGGAACATAAAATAACAAAAAAGAAAATTACAACTACAATAGCTACAATTTCTTTCTTCAATCTTACCCAGCAGGTACAAGCATTAAGTCAGTTCGCAAATCCTTCCACCGTGACTAGGTTGACATGTAGAAACCAATATAAAGCGAAGTGAATAAGGTTGAATATGTGCCAAATTATAAAGTGAATTTGCAATTAATAGAACGTAAGATTTTCATGTTAATGCATACTTGTTCAGTTCCTCGAAAGGCAACAACCAACCTTCTTCGAGAAGAATCACGCCATATGGCAACCTACATGTTAATATAATCTATCAAAACAAAGGAGACAGGAAACTCATTGATATCGCAACAAAACTCACTTGTGTGTCTGTTGAAACATTGTCAAGAAAACATATCTTTTCAAAGTCCGATTTGATGAAACTGTTACGTCCCAGTGAAGTGGCAAGCATAGTCCATGCCTCCATGGCAGTCTCTGCACTTGCAAACAGGCTCCGCATATCCTCTGCTTTCTGTGCATCAATGGACAGTAAGGTAGATGTGACAGTATCATCCTTTTGAACAGAATCTGCAGCAGAAGCACCTCTCTGCACTTGCAAACAGGCTCCGCATATCCTCTGCTTTCTGTGCATCAATGGACAGTAAGGTAGATGTGACAGTATCATCCTTTTGAACAGAATCTGCAGCAGAAGCACCTTGCTCTCTAATCATATCATCTTTGCCATTTGTTTCAGTTGTCGTTACTGATTGATCATGTGGTGAGAGGTTTTTAGAAAGTATCATCAGAGCTCCGAGTATACTTTCTGTTTGAGACAATACATCCCGAGATACTTTATTTATGTCTGGAAAGGAAGATTGCACCTCCTCTTTGGTTGTCAATGTTCCATTTTCGTTCTCAACACCAACTGTGTTTTCAGGAGTTGTTTCACTGCCATCACTTGTTGAAGTATCTGCCATTGCAAGTCCAGATTCTAAATATTCCTGTTCAGCAATTTCGCGTGATTTCAGACCAAGTGAACTTAATAGGTCAAATCCATCCAATTGCTTGACCTCTGGAAGAGAAAATCCAAAGTTCTGTAGTACATTTTGGTTGAGTACATTGTTCAGAGCTCTCCAAAAGTATTCATCCGATTCCTTCATATCGGATGATGCATCTCCTTCACTGTTAACAGTTGCAGAAGGAGATCGAGCTTCACTATGAGAATGAGAATCTGAAATGTCTTCAGAATCAATATTCTGCTGTTGAAGCTCATTTGAATTAGTTGGGCCATCTGAGGATTCTTCATCATTTTTAGAAACCTCAGCTCCACTTTCCAATGATGATGGCTTTGGAAGGTAGGTCTAAGTGAAAGAATTTAGTTGCCCAAATGCAGACTTCACAAACTGACTTGCATTTATACTTTCAGATCCAAGAACCATTCTAAGAGCAGATCCCAGGATGCTCTTCACAAAAAAGTCGGACACAAAAGGTATTCTCCACCATTGTTTTTCTCGCTCGATGTCATCATAGCTCTCGTATTTGACCTGGCATGTTATACTTAAAACTTAGTTCACTAATTAGAATGGAACAATTACAAGCCTTGGACATAGTGGAACAACTAAAATATCACTATCGGAGAATCATGCAGCTAGAGTATTCATATACCTCTATACTTGTTTGTGCAACGAGAAAAGATGCAGTGCACAGTAAATCCAGCCTATGCTTTACCAATGTGGCTTTAATACTAGATATTCTTATATGTGAGTCAAATTACCACTGTACTCATGGCTAGTTAAAAGGCCGGTCTGCTAGTTCATGTCCAAAAGGCTTCCTAATATGAAAATTATTCTACTGATATTGCTTCTATAAGAATCTACAGAAGTAAGGATTTTGCTGATTTCACTCACCTGGAAGGCAAGGATCTGTTAGAGGATGCACCTTCACATTCGATGATCAGGAAAATAAAATGTTAAGGATCGTACCTCTATCTCAATAGTTCCACCACCACCAAGGCCTTCTAATTCAACAGTAACACCATTATTGTTACCTACAAAGAGCAATGGCGCTATAAGCTTTCACCAAGAGCAAGATACAAATGCATCCATATTAGATTCAAGGGGAAGATATTGCTTGATTGCTCTGTAATCAACTTTTCACGTGAATATTAAATGAAAAATGAAGCATGACACAAGAAAAAGACCAATGAACATATGTTTTCCGAAAGGGCAGCAAAAGTTTTGCTGCAAGTAGAAGGAGAAAAAATAAAAACAATTGCAGGCCCCGTTTTTTTTAGTGGAAACCAGGCCCAAAACCCACACGACTAAGTACAAAACTATCATACATATTGCATTTTCAGATTGGCCAAAATGCCACAACTGATCGCAGATTTACCAGTTTAAAAAATAACCTCAGTTGTTTTTTCATATATATTGATCTTTTCATACAACTATCACTAAGTAGTGATGAACTGATAAAAATGGTTTAGCTTATTACTGGTTGCAGATATCAATAGATAGTATTAGCTGTTAGCGTAATACATGTGAAGGTTACTTGAAGCAAAGCTTGGTAGAGCATCTTCCGATACAATGTTGAGTGGGATGAATAAACTTGGGAGAGACATTTCAATAGCATAGTGCTTTATATCAGTGAGATTACATGCAGCTTAGAGACATGTGATTATGGAGTTTCAGTGTTTTACTATAAGTAAGAAAACAACAGTGGCTGTCAGATAGTTTTTTTTTGTGAAAAATTGGCAGGAGCTCTGCCCTTCAATTAAGATTGGGAATAGAAAAGGTGTTTATGTACAATCAGGAATAAACAACCCATCTGGGACAGCAGTGAAATGGAACACAGCAATGAATAGCCCCCTATCGAAACACTCTTCTTCTTTGCTCTATGTCGTCTTTAATTCTCGCGGCCACCTACATCACCGTTTCATATGTGTTGTTGAAGATTCTTCTGTTCCTCTCTTTCCAGAGGTTCCAGAAGATGTAAATGACCATGCCATTGAACCGTCTTCGTTCCGGGCGAGGCACTTTGCTTGAGGCGTTCTCCCACCACTGCCTAATATTAGCGGGGTCGTTCTGTTGCTGTCCTAGTAGTCCATCAAAATGTTCCCAAGCTAGAATTTGACTCCAAACCGCCTTAGCAAATGGGCAGCATAAGCATAGGTGCAGCCCGGTCTCGAAGGGCCCATTGCACAGCACACAATGTTCCTCGTGTGGCCAACCCCTTTTTTTTCCAAATTGTCTGCCGTTAGTAGTTTCCCGTGTATTAGGTGAATACCTTGCACTTATTTTCTGTAAGCGCTCTCCAAATGAGGTCCTTTCGAAATTTTGTGAACGAGCCTCTGAATTGGGCACGGTATGCTAAGCGGGTGGAGTAATTACCGTCTGGCGTCAAAAAATCCCAATGCAAGTGGTGAGTGTGAGTTGCATCCTTGAGATTCTCAAACTGGTGGAATTGGCAAGTTAGTCTAAATTGGGACTGAATCAAGCTTATCACAGGCCAATAATAATAATAACTCAGATGGTGAGGAAAGACTGTCCCATGGTACTGCACTAAGAAGAAGCTCTTTGTCAAACTGATCGAGAAAACACCCGAACCACGGCTTCACCCTAAAGGTCACACCATAACCTGGGCCGACCATAACCTTCTGGGCTGGTGATCACTGCAACTGCCCCTTGATAGGATGGACCAAACCAATTATAGAAACTACAGGCTAGTGCCCTACCATTATTTTTTGGGTTGCCAACAAGGGGATTTTTTTTTTTTTTTTTTGCACCAGGATTTGAACCCTGGCCGGTGTCTCCCTCAACTGGGGAGCTTACCGCTACACTATAAGAATGTTCACCACAAACTTCTCGATAAGAACATTACATCCTGTTTCAACATGATTTTGACCATGACTCTGTGCAGACCAGCACTGAGAATAAGGAAACCAGCACCCATGACACTGATCAGGAACAGGTTCTGAAAACCTGGTTATAACAAAAGGAATACCATGAGAGATTATTGTGATTTCTTTATTAATATAGAGAATTACCATCACAAAGTGATTCAAGGTATAATCCAGCATTTCCCATGCGTTTGTGTGGGGTAACAAGGTTTGCATCCCAAGCTGCAACCTATTGAGCAACATGGCAGCAGATGCCAAAAGGCACAGAAATCATTCATAGTAGAACCAAGATATCACAAAGTAGATGATTAAAACCAAAATTAAAAGATGCACACAATCTTATGTTTGATTACTATCACTTACTATTTCTTATCTATTTCTTTCAATTATATACATATAAATATAAATATAAATAAAATAATCTTGACCATGTACTCTGCCATCCTGAAAGCTACAGACATGCATTTATGTTTGTTAAAATCATAAATATTGCCGATTCAGTTTAAGCTTCACTAGAGTTGATCCACCCAACTTCCAAAACAATTTTATAACACCTGGAGCGAGTCCAATATCACTACATGCCCTCGGTACTTATAGCATGCAGCAGTTTCTTTGCCAAGACAGAGGAAGATTAATGGGCCTTCCCTTAAACGAAAAAAAAGAAAGTGTTTAACAAGACAGACAATGTTGAATAACCAGAACTTTCCTTAAACGAAGAAAAGGGGCTAGAATAGGGGACCATGAAATTATAACTTATTCATACCTAAAGAAGATTTTCTAGAGATTTTTTAATGATAAATGTGAAATCCTCATTCCATGTTGGCTCCTTTGTCCTACAGTGAACAATTAATGAAATCACACTTCGAATCAACAATGCAAAGGACTAGAAATATTCAAGTTTTCTCAAGAAAATTGTCCACTAGTTGACACAGTATCCCGAATGAAATAAAGCGCTCAGTATATACTGCATAAATCATTTTAATTTCATATAGAAAGGAACTTCTTATTTATAATAGCACTCCCAGCCCCAGCACACACAAAAAGGTATAAGTAACTCACGCCCATTTAATTTGACTTTTTGCAGTTTGACCATTCAGTTGTAGAATTACATAAGGATCACTTGTACCCTGAAAACAAAGGAATTAGTTAAGGGAATTGTTAAAGAGTGGAAAAAATAGGACTTCGATTAATAATTGAAAACATAAGAACTTTTTACTGATCAACTAGAACGAGGCTCAATACAAATTCAGCAGCATAAACAATAATGCATCATCGTACCCATGGATCCATTGCAGGAAGGTTTATGCCTTTCTTCAACCTGACGACTAGCTGTCCATCGTATACTTCACGGAGAAACACACTGCAATAGTTGTGGCATCGATGCATCATTGACAACATTTACAGTAACGGCTTAGCAATTAGCTACAACAAATGGTCCAAGCTCTAAAAAGAAGGGTAGGCCCAGAACTTACTCGGACAGGAACACTGTCTGACAGTCAGCCGCATCAGTTTCGCGCCAGCCCACATCTGCCTGTCAAATACGACGACCAATCGTGCCACGTAAGCTAATCCATGGCGGTTGCCTCCACCACCAGCTTGGACTAATCCAGTTCAAAAATGGGGACGAATAGCTCATGACGGGAGCAAGGTGCTCACCGGCGGACTGGTGTAGGCTTCAAACGCGAACCCGGCGATCGTGAAAAAGGAAGAAGCGAGGAGGCGCTCCTACTTCTAGCGAGGAGCGCTCTAGTCTGTTCGTGTGGTGGGGGGAAGAGAGAAGGCGCGCCACGAGCCCACGATACACCTACATGATTGCGCTGGCCTGCTAGAGGGCTCGGTGTCTGCTTAAGGGCGCCACTACGCTGGCAGTTGGGCCCAGTTACCACTGGTCGCTCGTGTCATTTCGCTAGTTGTCAATCAGAAGGTAGTGCTCACGGCAAATTGTCTCTGTTTGTTCAGCAGTATCGCAATTCTGACAGCCTCGATTTTTTAGACTTTTTCCCGCGTGCCGTTATAAAAGATCGTAATTCTCTGTGTGCCTCTAGAAAAATTTAGCGGTCTTTAGCGTCATTACTCCAACTTTTTCGTGTTCTCCATGCCACTTCCATTAATTCGGGCTCTAATACCGTCGAACTGCAGATGTGAAAAGACGAAAATACCTTTAAGTCTAAATATGTTATTAATTTTTTTTGAGCATCTTAACGACTTTAAATGAAAAAACTCAGTTGTTAAGATGCTCAAAAAAAATTAATAACATATTTAGACTTAAAGGTATTTTCGTCTTTTCACCTGCAGTTTGACGGCGTTAGAGCCCAAACTGATGAAAGTGGAGGACGCGAAAAAGTTAAAGTAGTGGCGCTGAAGGCCACTGAATTTTTTCAGAGGCAGAAAATTATGATCTTTTATATCTCAATTTTTTGCTCGTCCTATATCTGTCAAGAAAATTCTTGGATTTAACATCTCTGGGCCAAAATGCATCGAATACGTCAGATGTCCAGAACGATGTGTTCTTCGCAACAGGCACCAAAATCTCGTCAACTGCAGCAGCTATACAATTCTAGACCGAGACAAGAAACGCGAGGCATGCCTGCCGCGGCAATCTGCGCACGGTCGCCGCGCCGGCGGCTAGCCGGCTACATCAAGTAACCTTCGACGCTGCCGTCGTCCGAGGGGCGACCGTGCTCGCTCATGCTCCCCCTCAGCCTGTAGAAGCTGTGCCTCCCCTTGGTGCGCAGCGGGCCGGACCAATCGTACATCGCCAGCGACTCGATCTTGTCCAACACCGCGTTCGACGCCGACCGTGGCCTCCGCTCGTCGGCGCCGGCAGGGTCCGAGCCGTAGCCCAGGGGGAGCGCCGGGCCCGGGAGTGGCCGGCGGGTCGTCGTTCCACGAGCTCCTGCTGACGTCGTTCCACGGGGACTCCTCCGTCGCGCCGCCCCCGAAGGAGCCGCTGCAGGTCTCGTCGCCGCCCCCGCCGCTGTGGATCAGCTTCAGCGCCTGCACGACCTCGCCCATGAACGGCCGGTGCGACGCCTCGGCGTGCACGCACATGGACGCGATGGCCGCCGCCTTGGCCAGCTTCTCGAAGTCGTAACCGGCCGGGAGCGATGGGTCCACCAGCCGCTGCAGTCCTTCCCGGGTGGTGAGGAGCGGGCGCGCCCAGGTGACCAGGTTCTCGGACCCCGGTGGCTGGGTCATGTCCACGGGTTTTCGGCCTGACAGCAGCTCGAGGAGCACCACACCGTAGCTGTAGACGTCGCTCTTGACAAGCAGATGCCCTGTCATCGCATACTCTGGGGCAACGTACCTGCAGAGCATGGGGGGAAATGAATCAAATGATCCATAATATATAGCACTACATTAATTGTTTAAATTGTTCAAACAATCTATATCAAGAGTGATTACACTCGCCATCATCATAAGTGCATACAAGAGTTGTATGATGGCACTTGTTGATTAACACTAGTAGATGTCTTACCCGAAAGTCCCCATGACCTGAGTAGAAATATGATCCACCCCGTCTGATGCTTCCTTTGCCAGCCCAAAATCAGCAACCTTGGGGGTGAAATCGTTTTCCAATAGAACATTGCTAGCCTTGAAATCCCGGTGAATGACATGGGGGTTGGCGTCCTCATGCAGATAGGCTAGTCCCCTTGCTGCGCCGAGGGCTATTTTCATTCTAGTGTCAAAATCAATCGGGCCATATATTTTATCTGGACCTGAAATATAAAAACAGTGCAGGAATAAGTGATTATTACATGCCTACAAAAAAATAGTTATGTTTAAGTTTCTTAAACTGTGTAAGTACAGTTAAGATGCTATGAAAATTAGCGTGCTCAAATACCATGTAGATGAGATTCAACACTTCCGTTTGGAACAAGCTCAAATACCAAGCACCTCGTGCTCCGTTCAATGCATATACCAATCAGCTTGACAAGATTGCGGTGATGTAAACGACTTAGCATCTCAACCTCTGCAATGAAATCGCGATCTCTGTTGTGATGTTTCCTTGTGAGCAATTTGACAGCAACCTCAACACCATCTTCAATTACACCGCGATAAACACATCCATAACCCCCTTCACCTATTATTTTGCTGAAGCTGAAGTTTTCTGTGGCCTTCTCAAGCTCAGTTATTGTAAATGTCTTTACGGTGGATGTGCAGGTTCCTATTGTTGAAGCAAATGATGCTGCCGAGTTGCTTGTACCAGAGAACGATGACCTCATAGCTGAAACAGAAAAATAAATTCTATTACAAAAATTAAGGGGAGATTATATTCCATTAGGGTGTTCTATGCTTCTTTATGCATTGTTGTTCATGAATTAAATCAAGATCATAAGTAGTGCCCTTAGTGTTCAAGTCAGTACTCTGTGCTTGCTGGTCTTTTGATGTGTAATTTTTTTTTAGATAATGGATAAACATCCGGCTTCATCTACACAGGGTAGAATCATACCACTTATTACAAACTACTTGATGTGTAAATAGTAACAAGATCATTGTATATCACGACATACTTCGATACATGACAAACCAAAGTATTGATAGTGCCTCCATTGGACCAGATAGAAGAACAGAAATGAAGCAACAAGAAATTTAAAAACCAAAGTCAAGAACCATCAAGGACCAGGTGAGTTCCTAGCAACGGGAGGCAGGAACACAGGAGTGTGCATCACCTGACTCATATTCTAATTCAGGGTACAGGAGTATAAAGTACCCCTGTCTAACAAGGTCAAGGGATACCATATAATTGCATCTTAATCAATCCAAATGCAAATGACTATAGTGCAATATACCAGAAGTCCAGAAGTATAGTATAATGTGCCAATTGTCACGAAAATTACCTCCTTTTCTAGTGATGGAAGAACTTGAAATAGGGCCCGTAGCATGAGAATGTTTTAGTCCATTGAATCTCCAAACGATGCCAATGGCCAAGCACGTCAAAACAAAAACCACAGCTGACAGAGCAATTATGGCAACCATTTTAGAGTTAATCTTGTGATGGCTTCTATTGTGTATATTTGCACTAGAAGGGTCCTCGTTACTGCTTACTGGACCCAAGGATCCAGGAATAGGTACTAAAGAAGGAAGGCCTGCGATATGTGTATGGTTAGATAAAGAAAAGAACAAGGATTAGATAAACAAAACAACATAAATCACTACAGAAGGATAGTGAAGTGAATACATCAACATCTATTCACCTGGATAATGAACATATGTAGCAACATAGTCACCAAAAACGGATGAGTTTATTGGAACCTTCTTTTGCAAAAATCTGTTGCTAATCAGTAAGGCTGAAGTCCTATCAAATTTCTGGCCTAATGGCACCAAATCGATGGTTACTGTTGTTTTTTCAGGATCTTGAAGACTACTCCCAGCACCCATTATCCGAACTTGACTCTGTTTCAGGAATGTACCTGCTGCAACCTCAATTTCTAACTCATCGATTCTGGGAAATAATTGATACGGTGACACGCCAAGATCAAGCTGAATTTGCATAGGATATACACAACCACAGGGTGAACCAATTGGAGTGGACGTAAGTGGAGCAGAACAAGTTGTTCTGCTGCAATCTGTCAAAATTCAGGCATGAAAAGGTCTTAGTATTGTTGATTTCTTCATACTAACAATAAGATTTGTCATTTCTATTGGACAGTTGAGAAAGTAAACAAACCTTGTCTTTCTGGCGGAAAAGATGAAGGTGGTGGGGAAGCATGATGCCTTCTTCTGTGATGCCTATGCACTGGGTGAGCAACAATGGGGCCTGAGTATCAAAAGGAACAATGATTTGTATGAAGAATGCTAAATAGAACAGATAGCTAAAGTGGAAAGGTACACATTGAAAAATTTATTTTCGGTCATGGTGAGAAACTGAGAATTATATCTGCTTGCTACACCTATACTATTCATGTGTACAAATCTCAAGGGTTTTTGTACTTACCTTGAGGTTGAGGAGAAGGGGCTGGGCCAGGGGCTAGGGCAGGAAAGCGATGCTGATGGGTTCTACTCCAGAATCCGAATAAGTATGATGCAAGACTTGTAGTTGTAGAGCTTGATGTTCCGAGTTGCACTGCTTTGGATATTCAAACAAGAAACAATGAACCCAAACAATGCATACAAGCATCAGAACTCAGAAATATAAAGAGCGAGCGCTACATTGACGAAAATGTCTTTAATGCACTGAATATTGTTGGGTTTCGTTCTCTGCATTTGGAACTGTACAGTCTGTATCCAGTCAGGCAACGCAGAGTTTGATGACAATTGACAGCTCTAGCAAGAAAAAGACAACACAAAATGAGGAGCCCAAAACCCTCACCAAGCACTTGAACGAACTGCCAAAGCCTAAAAATTTCGAGCTCGATATGAGACAGAAAATGCTACCATCATAGCTCCTATCGTATCTACCGCACGCTGTTTTAGCAACCCAGCAACTCCTACTCGGCCACTCAGGCACGCGGAAAAGCATGCCAGGAATCACCGCGCCGCCAAAGCCGAAAAAAATCGAAGTGCAGATTTTTCAGAAGGAATTCCAACTTCCACATGCCAAAGCCTGAGGCATGATTCAGATGCGCTCGGACGAATCACGAGAGCAACAGCGCCATGGAGGAAAAGGCGAAACCTCAAACCATCTTCTGCCCCCACACACGACCAGTGGAACTTGCCACGCACGCCATGCCCGACGCTCCTCCCCGGCGATCCCACCGCAAGAACGCAATCCGCGCTAGAATTCTCCTCGGCATTGCAACCCGAACGCGAGAAAACGCGAAGCACGGGGAGGAAACGAGGAAAAATCTCAAGGACGAACCGCAGAGCACGAGGAGGAGTAGCGCCGCTCCCCGCGGCGGCATCTCGGGACGTCGCGGCCGCCGGCGTCGCTGGTGGGAGGGCCCGGCTCAACCGCTCAAGGCGCCGCCGCCATGTGGACCCCTGGCGGAGGATCCCAGCCGAGCAAGTCCGCCTCCTTCCTTGCGCTCTGCTTCCCACTGCGCTGCTGCTCTTTCTTTCTTTCTTTTTTCTCCCTTCTCCAGACTGCAGTCTCCTTTTTGGTTCTTCGCATTGAAGTGAGGCGCTGGTCCCGAAGGTGCATTAATTGGCGGGTGGGAGATACACCGAGACGAGCGAGGAGGCCTATGAAGGTTTTCGTTTTCCTTCCGAGTGTCCGTATAGTTTCTAAAATTTTATAAAAGTTTTTAAGATTTCTTGTCACATCCAATCTTTGTATGAAGTATTAAATATAAATAAAAAATAAAACTAATTTTTATGTTTAGATGAAATTATTGAGATGTCCTCCTTTTGAATTATCTTAATTAGATTTAATTAACACGCTCTTTGTCGGAAAATCAATTCTAGGTAAATTTGTTAGGTAGTGAATCATTTCTCATAAAAAAAATCGTCAACTAAAAAAGGTAAAAGCGTATCTTATTTAAACAGATTATTTTTAGTCCAGAGTGCAGACCGGTCAGTGGTTTCTTCTATTCTCTCAAGCTTCTGAACTCTTTTGTTAGTACTTTTTTATGTTTTGAAATATTCCAAATATTGTTTGTTCTATTTGGCTTATAATAGATATTCTAATTTAGTAGTACTACTCCTTTCCGAAAGGAAAATATTGTTGTTGGTATAAACCATGTTTATAACTAAATCAAACTTTTATAATTGTTTGTTCTCCTTTTGGAATTATCTTATGTGATTTACTAGTACGCTCTTAGCCGAAAAATCGAATTCTAGGTAAATTTGTTAGGTTTTGAATCATATTCTCATAAACCTCTGTATTTTTAGTGAAAAAAGGTTAAAACCCGTATCATAAATAAACATATTACATTTAGTAGAATCCAGGTACTAACAAATGCCTTCTATGTTTCAAGTCTGCCATTTTTTCGGAAACAATATGACAATTCCAAATATAGTGTTATATTACTATATAGATATTCTAATTTAGTAGTACTACTCCGTTCCGAAAAAGAAATTTACTGTTATATGTTTCAACTAAATCAAACTTTTATAAGTTTGACTAAATTTATAATAAATAGTATCCATAATTATATCTCCAAATAGATTTACAAATGTTTTAAATTTTTTATTGTAGTAAATTTTAGCTAAATTTAAAACTAGTTGATTTCTTGAAAAAATGGAAATTTAAAACTAGTTGATTTCCATGATTAATCCGACGGGAGGAGTAGTCTACCTGTCTACTATCATGAATAAACCATTTCTATGATTTTTGGCTGGCTGTTCTTCTCAAAAAAATATTGTTATCCAGGCAGGTCAATCGATTTCTCTCACAAGCAAGCGTAAGCCAACGAACGATAAAACCATCACTAATGCAACAGGCTGTGTAGCTTAGGTCATGGCGTTGCTTGAGCTAGTGTGGGCCTAGAGCAAACCAACAATTTTCACGGGAGGCGAACAAAAACAGCTAGCGGTGCTGCCCGTGCGGCCGTGCGGGACTGGCCTGGCCTTTTATGCCAGCCAGCCAACGCGGCGCTAGACTAGACTTGAGAAGAGTGAGCTTAAAGGAAGAGCATAAAAGCCCAGGCCCACCTCATCCAGTGCAAGTCCGCAAAAGAACAAAAAGCTCGCAAACTTTTACAGTTACACCAAAATGTAAGAATAATAAGAAGAAGAATGCCCGGCGTCGAAAAGAAAGCATAAGATACGCGTGTTCATGCATGATAGTTGTTTTGTCATTTAGGAAGACAACGTGGTGGTACATCATTGCAAAAGAGTTTGTGTCTTCGACTTTAATTTGTGAGATATGCTTGCACTCAAAGAACTTGCTCCCTCTCGTTGGCATAGGTATAGAGCCTAATGACCCAACAAAATCGTGATGATCACCATGTCCAAGAACACACGGTGGACCTGCATGCTTGGAGGTGAGAATCCCCAACTGCTGGACGGGACGACCACCACGCTGTCGTCCGTGCATGCATGTGCATGGTAGATTGCGACAGTAGTATGCATGCTGGGTTGCTCTGGCTAACACATCGATGCATACTCCTATAGTCCTATGGTCCAGAGGGTCCAGAAACCTACATACATGAAGAATTGAAGATCGTATTCGTATGCCTCTCCCGTCGTCGTGGTCGTCGCCGCTCCTGAAATGAAAGAAAGAAACAGTAAAAAAAACTCGAATATAATCTATCCTGGTGGGACGTCGATGGCCTGGCCGGTTAGTTAGCTAGCTAGCCAATGCAAGTTAACCTTACAAGGCAGGCTTCCATGTCTGCTCCTTCTTTTGCTTGCTTTTTTGGTTCTATACGCCGCCTGTCGGTAGAATCTGTATATACTAATCCTGCTTCCTAAAGCGGGCTCACCATCGTGCCACGTCGCCCGTTAAGCCGCAAGCCGTCGGATCGAGCAATCAGACGATCTGGACCGTCCGATTACGGGTCGGTTCGGGCGCGGACCCATCCGTCGCCCGTTAAGCTGGAGAACCGGGCGCTCGCGAATCGTGGCCTCCGCGGGGCCAGTACCGAGTACCGACGCCTCCGCCGCCTCCTCCGGCTTCCGCTCCCGCGCGCCCACCGTACGCGCGGTGCCGCGCCGGCGCGGGAGGGGCCCGCCGGTGGCCGCCCCCGGCCCTTGCACGGCCGTGCCCCTCCCTCCCTCCCCCTGCGGGTGACGCAAGCCACCGCGCCGCATCCGCCGCTACCGAGTGTCGACGCCTCCCCCGACGCGGCCCCCGCGGTGGCCGGCCCCTGCCGCGGGCGCGGACGCATCTCCCCGGCACGGCCCGCTCCCGGCAGTGGCCCTGGGCGGGGCCGCCGTAGCTGCCGCCTGGCGGGGGGCCAGCAGCCCCTGCGACCCCGGCGCGGCCGGCGGTACGGGCGTGGCGGCTCCGGCCACCCCGGAGCCATCCCGGCGTGGGTGGGGGCCCAGCGGCCGCGACGACTCCGGCGCAGGCGGGGTGCGGGCGCGGCGGCCCTGGCTGCTCCGACCCGCCCATCCCATCGCGGGCAGAGGCCCCAGCGGCCCCTGCAACCCCGGCGCCGCCAGCGGTGCGGGCGCAGGCACAGGCGCGCACATGGCTCGCCAGGGCGCCCATGCCGCCGTGCTGGGCAGCTCCTCGCTCGCACTCACGCCCTCTCTGCTCAGCTCCCCTGCCCTCACTCTCTCTGTTCGTCGCGGGCAGCAAGCGCCATGGCCGGCTTATCGATCCGTTGCCGCCTCGCCGCTTCGTAGCCGTGATACATGTAGGAGTGCAGCTCCCGCGGCGAGAAGCGCATTGGTGAGCGCGGAGGAACAACGGGGGCTAATCCATGGCGCCTTGTCTTCTCCGCTTTGCAAGCACCAAAGAGGACATAGCAGCAATGGACGCCTCCTCTCAGTACACTCCCTGACCCTTCCTCGTCCCTTTCCTCGGCAGCAGCGGCACGATGCAAAAGTTAAGCAACTATGGTGCGGCGCAAGGTCAACTTTGCGGCTTTGGCACCATTGCGAAGATCCCCACGGCCACGAGCCCACGACCTTCACGCCATAAGCTGTCCCTACGGCTGCTGGTGCGTACCTTCCCTCTTTCTCAGATCTGTAGCATGAAAGAGAATTCTCCTAGGTAAGTTCAATCTCGTTGTTTTCCACAGAGAAATTATCCCCTAGGTAAGTTCAATATTGTTGTTTTACATGCAGAAATTGTTTTTTTAATCTAGCACTATCGTTGATAGTTCAATTCACTTAAATTAGTTATTGGTCAGTCTTCATTAAACTCATATAATACCTTCTATTTTTCTTATCCGTGAGTACCAGATAATATTTGAAATCTCCGTATGTTATGGTAATAAGCATGTTTTGGAATCGTTTTCGCATAACATAACTTACGATCGTATCTGTATGCTTATGATTTGGAATAATTTGCTAAAATAAGGAAGAAGTGCTACTGTACCATGGGCATGCGAAACACTCAGACTCGGTTTTCTTTTACAGTCAAAGTGAACTCTTAGTTGACCTTTTGTTTTTCTAAGAAATCATTTATTTATTGTTTAGGATTATGAGAATGTTATTGCAGTAATTGCTGAACTGGAACTGCTTTTTCTCTCATAGCTACATCTGAATTAAAAACCGTGTGGTTAGTATTAAATAATAAAATACATGCGAAGTAACTATGTAATAATAAAACGTTACCAAGTCTAACTTAGAACTTTCAGGATTATTTCATGTGATTAATCTTCAAAATAGCAGCCAAGATGTATGGGCAATAAAAAAGGGTTTTATAACATTCATATTATTTTTTGCTTCCCATATTCGGCCAAATATAATAAGTGTGCCTAAATGTGACTGAAATCTTGTATATTCTTATTGAACAGACAGCTATCAGGTATGCTTTTGGGGTTGGTTTCACGTAGGCACACCCTTCACAAAGCCGGAGGTGTTTATGCTCATGATATCTGATTCAACTATTCTGAAACTACCTACTCCTCTGTTGAACAGTTGCTTTTACGTTTTTTGTGTTGCATATGTATCTTCATCTTCGTATCACTGTGTCTTCAATGGGGCTGCACCAAACATTGACACAGCCCTGAGTATAGCTAGGGATGAAGCCCACTGGTGGTGTATGGCAGGAGCAAAGGGTCTTTCCTTGCTCACTGCTTGGGGCTTTTAGTTTTTTAGCCCGCTTGGTCGTTGTATACTCAGAAACAGGTGCTTAAGCCTTACAAAACAGGGAAGGTGTGGAGGGTTGTGTGAGTGTGTTTGGGTCTATGTATGACTCATTTTTCTTCTACTAATACAATGATACGCAGCTCTTCTACGTGTTCGAGAAAATTTTTCAGCTTTATCAGACCACTTCTGAAAGAAGGAGCAGCCACTCTGCTATAGTACTAGATTTCATTTGATTGGCATGTTAGCTCTCATTTGA